CTCTGGCATTTCTTTTGCTGTATCGAAAATGTACCGAACCGTGACACCACTGTATCGTATCGAACCGAACCGTGAATTTTGTGAACCGTTTACACCCCTAATATACACAGTCTACTCACCTACATTTGTCGACAGTTTCCAGCATCCCTCCACCACCCCGACTCCTCACTCTCAGCTTGTTCCTACCACAGCCGAGAACTCTGGGTTCGGGCCAAATACCTCAAATAGCTCGGAGCCCTCCTCTCAGACAGCACGCCAAATGCTACCATTTATTCTATCTGGAATATAATGGAGGGGTGATGATTTGGGCTTGTTTTGCAGCCACAGGACCTGGGCACCTTCAGTCATTGAATCGACCATGAACTCTTCTGCATACCAATGTATTCTAGAGTCAAATGTGAGGCCGTCTGTCCGACAGCTAAAGCTTGCCAAAACTGGGCCATTCAACAGGACAATGATCCCAAGCACACCAGCAAATCTACACCAGAATGACAGAAAAGAAAGCACTGGCCCAGTCAAAGTCCAGACCTCAAACCTACTTTAGAGCAGGGTTCGGTTGGTTAACAGTTCAGTCTATTTCAGTTCCTCAGAATAGCAACGCTCCAGCAATGCTCCTGAACACACACACCTGGTTCTCAGACCAGCAGCCCATGGGCACAGACGGGCGCAAATGCATTTGCTATTTAAACAACTATTTAAACAAGGACGTGGAAATGAAAACTGAGTCGGGCTGAAACTAGCAAAACACACTTGCGTCACGCCTGGTGCTGCATTGCACCGGCTGTATGATAGGGCCCTAGATGTCTAGGGTAGAAGACGGAGGACAGAATGGCAGTGACCAACACTGACGTCTTTCCCAGCATTTAAGCGCTCCTGCTCCTTAACGTAATCTCCCGCAGCTGAGCCCAATTAAACACTGCACAGAGTGAGAGGGAGAGAGAAAGAGAGAACTGCACACAATACACATCACAACACCAAGAAATAAAATAAACAACAAGAAAAATAAACTATGTCCAGTGGCTATTTACATACCTCCGTTTTTGGAACCGAAAGCTGAGGTTATCCGCTTACTTACCCTTAAACGAACACTATGTGATATGTCACATAACCTGCTCTCTGGAATAACGCCTGAATTAACGATGTAAAGAAGAGCAGGCCAAAATTCCTCCACACTGATGTGAGAAACTGCTAAAGTCATACAGAGAACGATTACTTAAAGACATTGCTTCTAAAGCTGGCACTACAAGCAATTAAATCATGGGGTGTACTTAGTTTTTCACACCAGGCTTCTCCATTTTGGCTCTATATTTGTTAAATAATCATGGCCTAATATGCCAAGTGTTATTGTTCATCTTGTCTTTACCTAAATTTAAGACCTGCTAAAGACCAGATGTTTTTATTATTTAGTGATACGTAAAACCATTACATTTTTAGAGGGTGTACTTTCTTTTTCACATGACTGTAGAACATATTTTTTAGTACTTACAAAGTACTTATTCAAAATAAGTACCAACTCAAGAGAGTATGCATTTTAAACTCAAAGGAGTCTCAGGGAGTCACTTGCTTCGAAAAAGCATCATCCTTCCTTTTTTTTTTCAACCATTACGTCTCCATAATAAAATTGTTATATTTAAAACATTAATGCAATTATAATTGAAGTGTAAATGCATTCATGGCACCTGTGAAAATAAATGTAAATCCCACTTTAGATGCAGCTTCTGTGCCACTTCTGCAGTGAAAAGCTGGATTTTGTAGGTAAGGCTCAGTCCAGTCCTATATTATACCATGGCACTAAATATATTCATATACCACACTATTTATTACCATAATTTTAAAGTACTAGTACAAAGAACTGTATTAACATCATGCATGTTCCATAAACAAAGATTATATTTTATAAAATGAGTTTTCATTACAAATTTTCATTCATTTCAGTCATAAAACCATATTGTATCTACATACTGTACATAGAAACGGCATACATCATATTATGTAGTCTACCTTATACTTACATGGCTGATAGGCAAAGAAACAAATCCTCATTATTTCAGCGAGAGACGGTGTGCGCTGGGAAATAGCCAAGCGGCAGTGATCCTTCAAAATCACGAGCATTATGTTCACATTTTCTGCATGAGCTACACAACACTTCTACCCACGGTTGTGTGTCCTTTCCTCATGATTCGCTTGACCGCAGGAGATTTGACAGATTTGAAACCTTATTAAATTGGAAAAGGATTAGTGCTCAGTTTTAAAGAACAGAAAATTTACACAACATACACCTTTCCCTTATTATTAACCCTCTGGGGACCAGAGTGTTTTTGGGGCCCTTGGGATGTTTTGACATGCACTGACATTTGTGCTTTTTTCAGTTATTTATAAACATGTTAATGGCAAAGGTTTAAATTCACTCTATATAGCACAGACGGGACTACCATGATGAGTGAGCAACATGTATGTACATGTTTGTATTTTTAATAGAATAATGTTTATGCGTGGTTATTGAAAAAAATAAAAATGAAAGTTGCTGAAATAAGACCACAAAACACATATTGATTATTTCTTCACAAGACTTTTGAAAATTGTATCACATAGCCTAGAATATTTGCTCCAAAACTATGTGAGAATCATCCTGACTACTCATTCAGATAAGTCAATAAAGTCTTTTACATTTTTAATGACGTGTTTTGTTTGAGAAAGCTTTATGCGAGGAGGCGTGGTCTCTCATTAATATGTGTGGAATTTCACACCTGAGAAAGACAAAGACCCTCCCCATAATGGCCCTATTAGGTGCTATCAGGCCATATCATTACAGGAGCTTTGCACAAAGAATGAGGAGATTTAAAAAAGAATGGCTTTTAGATTGTTTGGATTTATATAAGGAAAATACAGGGTGCATAAGTCTGGACACTTCTATCACACACCCTTCACCGTATAGACATGGTTTTATTTCAGTTCAAAGTTAGAGTTGGAAACATCTTGAAAAGAAAATTGTCTTTCTCCATAAATGTCTTAGTTTGATCATACATATTTCAAAGTTGAGGATTCATTATTTTGATAGCTTGAACAAACACTAAAACATCTTAGTTGATTAGTTTATTGACAAAACATACTATATATTTAACATATGAGCAGAAACTCCTAAAAAAAGCTTATTTGATGTCTATTTTAGAGTAAAAACTTTATCCAAAACGAGTCAACGAAATGTTATTTAGTCTGTAACAGTGCGTATCTGTGCGTTCATTCATTCATTCATTCACACACACACACACACACACACACACACACACACACGCACACACACACACACACACACATGATTCACATTTAACAGTACGCTATTTTTCCGTTTACAGACACTACGTTATTCTATATCGCGATTAGAACAAAGCACTTGCAAAAAACACTTACTTCTCAGCTGAATCTGTTCATCCTCGCAGTGAAAATAAACCCAGTGGTAAATGTCCCAGGATTGTTCCTCATATAGCCGCGCAAGACGACAGTAGATTAATCTGACTAAAAAATAATGTGTGTTTTCAGAGTTTATGGGCGTTCACGCGTCTCAATGTGTTGCTTCACATATTTGCGTTTGAATAGCGCGTGCTCTCCGTGGGCGTGTCACATTACCAGGGATAATCAGCTGAGAGAACGATAATGAGACGGGCTGACACGTCTCTCTTTTTATATAGATAACATAAACGGAGAATATTAATTTTAGTTTTGAATCGGATCATTTAAAAGTACAAACTCAAACGATTTAAAAGATATATTGCTTATGGCTGGGTGAATAGTATAAGCTGAGTTGTGTTGAAGATTAGAGACGTGCTCCAGAAAAAAAGTTCACGGTGACTGCAGGCAGAACGCACACCCTGTTTATTTTCTTTATTTTACAAAAGCACAATATTTTATTTCGATTGTATGTGCGCACATAAAAAAGTAGACATTTAACAGATTATTTTCTCATATTTCTTAACTCTATATGAACAGAAATGATGGTAGTACTTTAAGTCTATTTTTCTGCTATGTGAAAAAAAACGAGCAAAACGCGCCCGCGCGTTTCTGGTCCCCAGAGGGATTATTAATGAAATGCAGAAAGGAAAGTATAAGCCAAATGAAAGTACACTTTAATTATTACTTTAAAAAGCATATAATCATATGTGCAGAAAACAGGATAAATTTGTTTTAAAGCAACAAAAGAACAATATATGAACAGTAACATTATTATTTTTAAATTCTAGAATATTTCATGAAGGGTTCATTTAAGGTCACGTGGAAAAAGGTAAAAAGCTTTAATTATAAGTTGGGAGTTAATGCATGTGCTGAACATACACAGAATCTCTAAGGAACTGATTTATACAAATTCTGATCATAGAGATTATTTAGTTATTAATGATTCTATTTTATATCACTGCAGATGTAAAACAAACATTTTTGATCTTGGGCATTCCCATTAGCTTAATAAAACTTCATTAGAACCCCTTCATTAGAGCTCAGGGCTGCGTTTCCCACAAGCATCGTAAGCCTAAACTGATCGTAGAACAAATCTCTACAATCAACGTAGCTCACGGTGCTTTCGAGAAACAGCCCAGAGTAATCAACGAAACATCAGCAGAAATACAGCATATCTGCTGTATCCGAACCAAATGTATTCGATATGGAAATATTTATCAATAGTGGTTTATTAGTTGAATGTAAAAATGACATTCTTCTTTCACAGTTTCAGTTAAAAAACAAACCTTGCGAAAAAACTGATTCTGAAAGCATGGACAAATCAACGTTCAAGCAAGAATAAGCCAGCTATAAGAAGACAGGTGTACATCTGGCCCTGCCACGGCCGGTTACACTAGCACTCCTGTTAGCTGAACCGATACAGAAACACAAGCCTTCTGAACGAACCCCTCCTTTAGAAAACAACCGGTCAAATCATCATCTCATCTTACAATAAGTTTATAAAGTGTCCATTTTCAGTGCGTTATCATTATATTCAGGAATTCATGGGCGAGCTATGAACTCACGTCCACAATATCCATGGGCTCTTCCTTCTCTGATCCATTTGACTGGTTGCCGTTCACTGCATTCTTCTGGCGGTCTTCAGCCGGGCCGCTCTGCTCTCTCCGGTCGGGACCCTTCTCAGGCGGTGTCGGGGAGCGGTGTGGAGGGCTGTCGGGCACGGGCCTGTCCGTACTCGTCCCTGAGCCGGCTTCCTCGAGCTCCTTCTGCGAGTCAGCTGGACTGTCCATCTCTTCGCAGTCGCTCGACCCTGCAGTGGATCCAGCGACACATTCCCACGGCGTGTTTGAGACGTCTTCTACTCTCTCCGCTGTGTGAGGGGCTTCAGGAAGCGTTCCTCCTCCAGCACTGCTTGGCTCCAGACTAACAGTCTCTCCGTTGTTCGCACCGGTGTCACTGTTGAGCGGTGACTCTACAGAAGGGGCATCTAGACCGGGCTCATGGTCTTCTGGTGAGCCCTCCCTGTCGCCTTGCTTCTTTGCATCTGTGACGTCTCCGACGGGCTTGCTGTGTTTGGGCTCGCTGGCGTCTTCTCCATCCCTGTGTTTGGGCTCGCTGGCGTCTTCTCCATCCCTGTGTTTGGGCTCGCTGGAGTCTTCTCCATCCCTGTGTTTGCACCGTGAGTGACCTTCGTCAGTGGCGGCGCTCTCTCCGCTGCCAGCTAAAGAGTTCTGCCGCTTCTCAGACTTCTTCTTGAAGCGTTTCTGGATTTTCCTGGGGCACCACACAAACTTGTCTTTGGGCTCAAAGTGCTGAAAGGCGAAGCGGACCAGCTTCCTGCGCTCGCGCTTGTCCCGCACGGCGAACAGGAAGTAGTCGAGCACACTGCGCTTCACGCCGCTGAGGGTCTTCCTGACCAGGGTCTCTTCGAGGAAACAGCGCACCAGAGGGGCCTGGAAATGCTCGAAGCCCAGCTCCCCCAGGCTCTTCAGGATCCTGGTTATCCGCAGATTATTGTGCATGTTTCTGAAAGCAGATATTACAGTATTTTTCAGTTGTGTGTGAGATAAAGACACAATCACAATCAAGAGAGAGAAAAATCAGTCAGGTACTTGGATGGTTTTAATACATCGTTATACACCCTACACAGCAAAAACTCCAGTGTTAAATTAACTCTCCTGAGAGTTTATATGACTCCACACTCAAGAGTGTTAAATTAACACTGAAGCAGTGTTAAAGTTAATGAGATAATTAAGTGATTAATTGAGTGATGTTTGCTCAACATTGAAGACACCTGATGTTAACAAGTAGAATCACTGAAGGTGAAAAATCACAATTTTGAGTCACCATTATGGAGATCAGTGTTTGCTTCAGTTGGGCAGTTAACCCTAACATTTTTTACTTTAGATTTTGTTTGGCTGTTGTAACAGCATTATAACTGTCAGATGAAGGAAGAGAAAATATGATCTGATGGTGTTGGTTATGTTGTAACAAAATCATGAGTTGACCTGAATCACTGAACTAATTTAGAGCCTAATCTCTGACTTAAATGTATATTGTTGATTACAGCATCACAGTGATTCTACAGCGTAAGATCCAGAATTTTTGATACAATTCAAATGCTTTCTTAAAAGTTGTTCTGATAAAAAAAGCTTTCTTTTTGGCACTCACAGACATCAAGAATCAGTGTATGAATCTCAACAATGGTGACAAACAGAAAATTCAATTAGGAAAAGGAAATTACATTAGGAAAAGGAAATTACTAAGACAATTCAGATCATAACTTAATCATACTGCAATGCGTGATGGGAGCCATGAATGAGTTTTGATTGGTGGAGCCCATAATGCACTTCAACATGCTTTATTATTGTCACCATTGTTGAGATTCACAGGCTGATTATTGATGTCAGTGTGTCTAAATAAAATAATTTTTCAAACTCTTTTGATCAGAACAAATTTTAAGAAATATTTTGGATTATATTGAAAGTGCTGAAAAACGTTTGCTATAGAATTATAGTGTTGCTGTAATCAACAAGGTAAACCTAACACTCTAAATGAGTTTTGTGATTCTGGTCAAACGATGATTATGTCAAACCATAACCAACACCACCTGATCACCTTTTCTCTTAGTTCATCTGGCAGTTGTAACTCAGTTACAACAGCCAAACTAAATCTAATGTTAATAGTTTAAGGGTCAAGAGGCCAACTAAAGCAAACAATGATCACCATAATGGTGACATCGAAAATGAGATTTTCTCCTTTAGTGATTCTGCTTGTTAACATCTGGTGTCTTCAATGATGGTCAATCATCATTCAATTAATCACTTAATTAGCTCATTAACTTTAACACTTTTGAGTGTTAATTTAACACTCATATTTTAACACTTTAACACTCTTGAGTCTGGAGCCAAATAAACTCCCAGGAGAGTTCATTTAACACTGGAGTTTTTGCTGTGTATAAGCCCACTTGTAATTTTGAAATATAACTATTATTAATTATTTTGTAGCAAATGCATGTTTGTTACTGTCATTTCATTACTTATTTGGAGCCGACTTAATTGCTTTTGTCTGACAGTCACTTTTCTTTCTGAAAAGACAAAAACTGAAGACAAAACTGGTTTAGTATTAATTAAAAAAAAAGTTTAAAATAAGTGATTAATAAATCTGTTGCAACCTGATATGACTTTGTTTGTATCTTGGTATTTTAAGGATGGATTGAAAAGATGGATTTCATTAGGCATTGCCTGAGTGATGCTTACAAACATGAGCAATGAAACAAATATTACTAAAAGCTGTTGATAGCCACATCAGCCAAAATACAATTTAATGTTCCGTCTAAAAATATATGACCTTTTTGTCAAGTGGGCTTATTAGGAACAGCTCAACTGACTCACCTTCGCTTTATATCTTTAAGAAAACATGGAAGACTTACAGGGCTAAGAGGGTCAGTTTCCTGAAGACCTGTGTCACTATACTCAGCATTTCAACAGTTGTATGTAGTGTGCTGGAATTGTAAACCAGAGTTAATAATAATTAAAAAGAAGCAGCATAAGATTACAGCAGTGGTGCCGAGCCCGGCTCCTGAGGGCCAGTCCTGCAGAGTCTAGCTTCAACCCTAAACACACATAATCAAGTCCTCCAGGATAATCTGGACACTACGGGCTGGGTTTAACCCACGCTCCGTGCCCTTACCCTCGCCTTCTTCATTATCCTTGAACGCTGTGTGTTTTTGGAGTCATTTTGTGGTAAATAGCAAAACAGTACCACATATCCCCCAAAACACAGCATAAATGTATAGCTGAGAAGAAAAAATATAATAAAATAAAAAACGATATATCATTTGTATTAAAAAAATGTGTATATATTTTTTCCCAATTGCTCTGTAAATGTGTGGTCTGGCCCAGAGACCCCGAGTGGACTGTGTGAGGGTTAAGGGGACTACAACTATAGATGCAGTTCAAGCTCAAGAGAACTAGAGCATATCCTACACTAGAGTTGTGTGGTGATCAAGCGTGACGTCACAATCGTGTTGCATTGTGGTCGATGGACTGCCTGAAGTGGACATGTAGTAGACTCGCTCCCTCTGTCAAAATCCAGGGTCTGTCCAAATACACTTCCCTTAAAGTTTAACGCACTTCAAAATGGCGGTGGGTATTCCCCCGAGTGGACGCAGCCCAGGGACGTGTGTGTGTTGCAGCCCAGTGACGTGTGTGTGTTGCAGCCCAGTGACGTGTGTGTGTAGCAGCCCAGGGACGTGTGTGTGTTGCAGCCCAGTGACGTGTGTGTGTAGCAGCCCAGGGACGTGTGTGTGTTGCAGCCCAGTGACGTGTGTGTGTAGCAGCCCAGGGACGTGTGTGTGTTGCAGCCCAGTGACGTGTGTGTGTAGTGACGTGTGTAGCAGCCCAGGGACGTGTGTGTGTAGCAGCCCAGGGACGTGTGTGTGTTGCAGCCCAGTGACGTGTGTGTGTAGTGACGTGTGTAGCAGCCCAGGGACGTGTGTGTGTTGCAGCCCAGTGACGTGTGTGTGTAGTGACGTGTGTTGCAGCCCAGTGACGTGTGTGTGTAGTGACGTGTGTAGCAGCCCAGGGACGTGTGTGTGTAGCAGCCCAGGGACGTGTGTGTGTTGCAGCCCAGTGACGTGTGTGTGTGTAGCAGCCCAGTGACGTGTGTGTGTTGCAGCCCAGTGACGTGTGTGTGTAGCAGCCCAGGGACGTGTGTGTGTTGCAGCCCAGTGACGTGTGTGTGTAGCAGCCCAGTGACGTGTGTGTGTTGCAGCCCAGGGACGTGTGTGTGTTGCAGCCCAGTGACGTGTGTGTGTAGCAGCCCAGTGACGTGTGTGTGTTGCAGCCCAGGGACGTGTGTGTGTAGCAGCCCAGTGACGTGTGTGTGTTGCAGCCCAGGGACGTGTGTGTGTTGCAGCCCAGGGACGTGTGTGTGTTGCAGCCCAGTGACGTGTGTGTGTTGCAGCCCAGGGACGTGTGTGTGTTGCAGCCCAGGGACGTGTGTGTGTTGCAGCCCAGGGACGTGTGTGTGTTGCAGCCCAGGGACGTGTGTGTTGCAGCCCAGGGACGTGTGTGTGTAGCAGCGCAGTGACGTGTGTGTGTAGCAGCGCAGTGACGTGTGTGTGTAGCAGCGCAGTGACGTGTGTGTGTAGCAGCTCAGTGACGTGTGTGTGTAGCAGCTCAGTGACGTGTGTGTGTAGCAGCCCAGTGACGTGTGTGTGTGTAGCAGCCCAGTGACGTGTGTGTGTAGCAGCCCAGTGACGTGTGTGTGTAGCAGCCCAGTGACGTGTGTGTGTAGCAGCCCAGTGACGTGTGTGTGTGTGGCAGCCCAGTGACGTGTGTGTGTAGCAGCCCAGTGACGTGTGTGTGTGTAGCAGCGCAGTGACGTGTGTGTGTTGCAGCGCAGCTCATTTTACAGTGCGTGTCTTTAGTGAATCCTGACAGTAGTGTAACGCCAAAAGAGGGTTTGCGCTGGAGCGAGCGGTCAGTGAGTCTGTTAAAGGTGTCATATGAAGCTCTTCAATGTTTTCCTCTAGTGTGTAACGCATCGGTTTGTGCCAGTATAAGATGTGTGTTACTGACTCTTCTCCCACACAGGGATTTATTCTGATCCAGACCTGCCTAAAACGCCTCGGTCCAGGTCCAGTATCACTTCTGCAAACGCCCACGGCACAGGAGAAGCAGAGGCTTCAGGGAACTGTAGTGGTGTTGCAGAGATGCTGTGTGTTTGGATGCAAAAGGCCTTCGATTGGCCTTCCAGAAACAGATGAAATTAGGAATCAGTGGTTCAGACTCATTTCTAACGCTGTTCCTCAGCAGAATGACCCAATAGTTTGCTTGTACATACCAAATTTAGTTTGAATCAAACAAACGGCCTTGGATGAGTTTAAAAAGGTGTTTTTTTTGTAAATGGATAAACATATGTGATTTAGAGAAAAAAATGTTTTTGCAAAAATCTAAATTAGCTTACAGCACCATCTTGTTGCCATTTCTCATCACATCGAATACACAGGCTCGTGTAGTTACATGACAGATATGCTGAATCTCATAACACTCAGTGCTTTACAACTCGATGAGATTTGAGTTGATTTGTACAACTGGTTTATCATGGCTTGTTTAGCACTTGTCCAGAAGAAGCTGCTGATCTAATGAAATGTGCATTGATCAATCTGTCATGAAGTCATGAGAGACTGCTAGCTGTGATAGACCTTATTCAGAGCAGCGCCACGGCCGTATGAGCGAGGCTGTGGGGGACAGACTTACCGTGTTTACGGCACCCGCTGAAGAAAGCTGTAGAACACTCCCAGATCATTTATCATTTTCCACAGATCATGTGGTTTGGAGTATTTTGTCTGTTTAAGTTTCTTGTTAAGATATTTTCGCAGTGTTTTGTCAGCAGAACAATCCAAAAACACATTAAATAGCAGTACGACCCACTGAGGAGATGTCCATCCCTCACAGCCTCGCTCTCAGTCCCGCAGCGGGGAAAGGTCTAAGGTCATGCATGGAGAGCAAAGTCAGTTTATACGAGGTGATTTAAATCCATCTTGTCAGCGAATCTTTTTTTTTCTATTTTCAAATACAAGTTGGATTCAATTGATATACATATGTCAGCAAGTATTGAATGGTCATTGGTCAGCTTTGTCTTGGATATTGAAAATGTAAAAAAACATTTTGACCACTAATCTACACCTGAGGGAATATCTTCACGACTGATAACTGAACAGAAACAGAGATCTAATGCAGATCTGTACACTACAGGAACAAACATGTTGTCACTGGTTTAAGAGCAGGAGAGGGGATGCATGAGCCCAGGCCGTCTCGGGACAGGATCCTCACCTCTCTAGATTGGCGAAGCGCTCCCTCCAGTTCTCGGCGCGCTTCACCTCGCCGGTGTCTCTGCTGAGCAGCTGCAGCCCGTAGAAGCCAAGCATGAGCTCGTAGGAATCCAGGAGACGACTCTTAGCTTCCTCACTCTCCCTGAACGCCTGTGGACACCGGGACACGAGACACACCTTGACACAGTCCAGTACACACACACACACACACACACACACTGGAGCCTCTGCTACCGTGTGCATCAGCGGTTCACTTTAACACTCACTTGTATCTCTTTCTTGGTGAGCTCTGCCGCCATGTAGTTCACGCCGGGCTCCCGCAGAGGAAACAGCCTACGAGCAACACAGACTCACTATTACAGGTCCTTCTAAAAAAATTAGCAGACTGTGATAAAGTTCATTATTTTCCATAATGTAATGATAAAAATTAAACTTTCATATATTTTAGATTCATTGCACACCAACTGAAATATTTCAGGTCTTTTATTGTTTTAATACTGATGATTTTGGCATACAGCTCATGAAAACCCAAAATTCCTGTCTCAAAAAATTAGCGTATTTCATCTTTTTTAATACAAAAAAAAGTCAACCTTCAAATAATTATGTTCAGTTATGCACTCAATAGTCAATACTTGGTCGGGAATCCTTTTGCAGAAATGACTGCTTCAATGCGGCGTGGCATGGAGGCAATCAGCCTGTGGCACTGCTGAGGTGTTATGGAGGCCCAGGATGCTTCGATAGCGGCCTTAAGCTCATCCAGAGTGTTGGGTCTTGCGTCTCTCAACTTTCTCTTTACAATATCCCACAGATTCTCTATGGGGTTCAGGTCAGGAGAGCTGGCAGGCCAATCGAGCACAGTAATACCATGGTCAGTAAACCATTTACCAGTGGTTTTGGCACTGTGAGCAGGTGCCAGGTCGTGCTGAAAAATGAAATCTTCATCTCCATAAAGCTTTTCAGCAGATGGAAGCATGAAGTGCTCCAAAATCTCCTGATAGCTAGCTGCATTGACCCTGCCCTTGATAAAACACAGTGGACCAACACCAGCAGCTGACATGGCACCCCAGACCATCACTGACTGTGGGTACTTGACACTGGACTTCTGGTATTTTGGCATTTCCTTCTCCCCAGTCTTCCTCCAGACTCTGGCACCTTGATTTCCGAATGACATGCAAAACTGAGCTACAGTCCAGTGCTGCTTCTCTGTAGCCCAGGTCAGGTGCTTCTGCTGCTGTTTCTGGTTCAAAAGTGGCTTGACCTGGGGAATGCGGCACCTGTAGCCCATGTCCTGCACACGCCTGTGCACGGTGGCTCTGGATGTTTCTACTCCAGACTCAGTCCACTGCTTCCACAGGTCCCCCAAGGTCTGGAATCGGTCCTTCTCCACAATCTTCCTCAGGGTCCAGTCACCTCTTCTCGTTGTGCAGCGTTTTTTGCCACACTTTTTCCTTCCCACAGACTTCCCACTGAGGTGCCTTGATACAGCACTCTGGGAACAGCCTATTTGCTCAGAAATTTCTTTCTGTCTTACCCTCTTGCTTGAGGGAGTCAATGATGGCCTTCTGGACAGCAGTCAGGTCGGCAGTCTTACCCATGATTGCGGTTTTGAGTAATGAAACCGGCTGGGAGTTTTTAAAAGCCTCAGGAATCTTTTGCAGGTGTTTAGTTAATTAGTTGATTCAGATGATTAGGTTAATAGCTCGTTTAGAGACCCTTTTCAAGATATGCTAATTTTTTGAGACAGGAATTTTGGGTTTTCATGAGCTGTATGCCGAAATCATCAGTATTAAAACAATAAAAGACCTGAAATATTTCAGTTGGTGTGCAATGAATCTAAAATATATGAAAGTTAAATTTTTATCATTACATTATGGAAAATAATAAACTTTATCACAATATGCTAATTTTTTTAGAAGGACCTGTATAGAGCAACACAGACTCACTATTATAGAGCAACACAGACTCACTATTACAGAGCACTTCATCTGCACACTTCACCAGAGACGTCACAGATCTATGGTGGCCCAGAAGTGCAAAGCAAACCGCAATTCCCAAAACAAAACAAGTAATTTATAAACGCAATAAAAAGACTAAAACCAAATAACAAGTTAGAAAGCAGGAGACATGCGAATCGAGATTCTCTGCCACAGTCTGCTGTAGCTTCTGCAAGTCTTGATTGACAGATGTCTCGTCCAATCAGCGGTCAGTATTCCATTCGCCACATATACCTTTTCCATTTTGTCTGACTTGTCGTTGTGTTTTCTGGCTTGCTATTTTGTTTTTAACCTTTCCATTGCCTTTATAATTTGATGTTTTGTTTTTAGATTTGTGCTTGGTTTTGCACTTCTGGGCCACCGTACAAATCCCGTCAAACCCTGCTAAACAAGATCAGGAGCTTCTTACCACTGAATGTAGGAATGAACTCTCTCCAGTCTTTTGTAATCCGTCTTCCACTCAGTGTGAAACGCCTCGATGGACACATCTAAAGCACAACACAAGAGCTCAGATGAAGAGCGATACAGCTTCGCTCTGGGATTGCTTTAGCAGCTCAAAGACGTACCATCAGGCGAAGACTTAATCTCATTTAGGTAGAACTTTAAATTGGTCATCCGTTCTTCTGGGCATTCCTCTTCATTGATATTCTACAGAGAGAAGAAGAAAGATCCTCACATCATCGGGTCAGTCTCATGAATGTAAAGTGTGTTTGGTTGAGTCTTACTGGATATCCGTGTCTGTAGTTCTGCATGTCCTTGGCGGCCCTGAGGTTTCTGGAGGAAGAGTTGGACCACTGCAAACACCACAGGCCAAACATTAGTCTCAGCTCCCGTTAATCGGCTGCATCCCAACTCCCAAACTACCCATGATCCTGATCCAAGTCTCTTGCATTTACCAACATCAGATATCAAAATATGATACTAATCAAAATGTGGTTATTATGCCTATCCCTGTAGCCAATCTGTGGAGAACTTTAACTTCAACAGAAGCTCATCTGTTCACATCCCGCACTGCCAATGCAAATGTAAATCTTACAAATGCATTAAGACATATTAAAAAAAATAAACACTGAAAGTAGTAAATGGAATAAAATATATTATACAATTGCCATGTGTCTGTTTCCAAATATAACGCATGTGAAGGTCAACAGTCCTGAATCTTTACGAATACTGATTTGCAAAAGCAACTTCAAAAATACACAAACACATGACGTGTCATAAGGGAGACCGGCTGACTTCAGACGGACATGTGCGGATCAGAAACTGTCCTCATGCTGTCCCTCGAGAGGAGAGAAGCTCACGCATGTGTCCGGTTCACTCAGTGTCCCGTTGTCTTCCAGCTTACTAGATATAGGCCAGTTAAAAATGATGGGTCACCCAAAAATATCTGCTGAATGATTAAATTAAGCTAATAGCAGCAGGAATAGAATTTGGATGCTGGAAGCTATTTCTTATTGCCTATAGAAGATACACATAAAATGTCTCTTTCCATGATCAAACGGTTGCAGATTTCTGAGTTTTATGGGAAGAAGTCATGCGGTCCACATGCACGAGTGTCATGACGTATGGTCTCTGTGTTTGGCAGGTGATGCTGGGACGGTCCCAGACGTGCACCAGTTTTACTTACAGATCGCAGACACCCAACAATATGGGTTGGACCCCTAAAAATAATGTTACAAATTAAATTAAATGTATTTATTTCAATAAATAATGACATTCGTGCATAAGTAACCGAGTTTGAACTATTTTAAGTTTGCTTTATGAAACAGAATCCACCGACAATAAGTCTGACTAACCAAAATAAGCCTGGCTTGTATTCTAATCCTGTGTTATGGAACAGCCCTCAGCTCTATTTAGTTTTATGTAAATACAAAATATGCTTTTATAACACAATAGAGCTATTTATTCTCAAAGCTCTTAAGTTGAGCTGTAGATTGTGAATGTGCTGAAGCACAAGACTGCAATTGGTAATTTGTAATATATAAACAAAATTAAAAAGCAGGAGCACAAGATTAAAATACCATGAATGAACCAATAACTGATTTTAGCCTAGACCGTATTCGATGTACAAAACCTAGTATATTTAGCTTTATTGCTCATTGTTATGATAATAGTGTGCTTTTGAAGGACTGAAGGTGTTTCACGCGACCGTTTTCATCTGCGGCCCAGCAGATGACGTGCAGATCGGCGGCGAGTGACGTACTTCCGGTCAGCAGAGCCTACGTTAAATAACTAGCTAACATGCTATTCTGCAAAACACACGCAAACAATCAAATTAAACCTACTGCAAAATAAATAACCTGTCAAAATGGTTTATTTAGACACTTCCGCTAGTGCTCGTTTCAGAGTAAAAGGTGCGCGTAGAGGTTTCGGCGCGCCTGACGGTGCGTCAACACACAGATATACACCAGATGAGACACACCGCCAATAAAACCGATTGGCGCAATGGGCAATATAGAATAAAACAGTGGCACAGTGCAGTGGTTCACAGATGATGAGTGTGTGAGGGAGAGGGAGAGCGAGAGAGAGAGAGAGAGAGAGAGAGAGAGAGAGAGAGAGAGAGAGAGAGAGAGAGAGAGAGAGAGAGAGAGAGAGAGAGAGAGAGAGAGAGAGAGAGAGAGAGAGAGAGCGACAGAGAGAGAGAGAGAGCGACACATACGAATGCGGGCCGTGTTTTCTTGCTGCGGCCGGTGTTTTCCAGCTCGTCCCCGTCGCTCTCCGTGTCCCAGGTGGAGTCATATTCACACACCAGATCGTCGTCCATCCCTACAGGTCATATGAGTGATGATGCATGTGATGAAAGCCCTGGGGTTTGATGAGAGTCCGCACGGCTCCATTGGATGTGCAGATGATGATGTCCGCGCGCGCGCGCGCTGCTCGCTCACTGACTGCGCTCGTCATCACTCACGCCCGCGCGCGCTGCTCGTCATAGAAGCCCTGGATGCTAGTGATGCGCGGGTCGGCTTTTTTTCCAACCCGCAGGTCCCGCTTTTATGAAATTATTTGGCCCGCCCCAGCCCGCACCGCAACACTGTATCTATTTTTAGAACCCGCCCCGCCCCGCACCCGCGACCGTTAAATAGACATACTACTAGGCATTGTAATGTAAATGAAAACAGCCTTTATTTCAGCCTGAAAGTGCTTGGAAACATCGCCCTGTAAACTGGCAACAACAAGAGACGATTATGAATATGAATCATAAATCAGTCATATTAATAAGATACTAATAAACATTTTCAACATTTACAAAGCAGCTGGAAGTGGCCGTTTTGTGGCGCTACTGTTTGTATATTTTTCACACGAGTTGCACTTCAGGTAGCCGATCTAGCTACTGTTGTCTCCTGCTGTCTATTTCTGAGAATAGCTCCCAAACATTAGATTTAGCAGCCTATCCTTATTTTTCTTTTCAATTTAATCAGGTTTATTCCCGACCTCAATTTCTCCCGCACCTCGTCTTCCATCTTCACTTTTATTTCTCCGTTGTTGTTGTCGTGGCTGGCGGCGGGAGCTGCGGAGCTGCTTGGCGCGCCGCTTTCGTGACGTGTCACGTGACGCCAAAGGTTTATGGACCTCACGCAAGTTAAGTTGCTACGGCATTCGTATTGTAACCTTATCAAATAACCTAATACAATACGAAAATAGATATTCCCAAATAATAATAATGACCCGCCCCAACCCGCACCGCAAATAAAGTGACAATTTCTTTACCCGCCCCAACCCGACCCGCGGGGTCCGCGGGTTCCGAGTCGGCCCGCGCATCACTACTGGATGCTGAGTGTTGTGCACAGTGACTTTCTTTTATGGAGTTAATATTGTGCCATAATTAAACAAACAAATCCAGCATTTTGCAAACTCGATCTGCTTTGCAAAGGAAAACTCGACTCGCAAATAAACAGAAAGCAATGTGCACTCCATAGATAGGCCTATTTTTTTCTTGTTATTGTTGTTGATTATTATTCCTCAATATTATATTACCTGTGGTTTTTATTGATAATGCATTTTTGGAATTAGTAAATACCACGTGCTCTTTTATTGACCCCAAACAGCCTACTGGTGATAAGAGGAGCATGAGTGCTTGTGAGCATGTCTGTGTTTGACACCCCTGTATAATGATAACAGCTAAAGAATATGGAGCCAGATCAGACTCATTAATAATTCACGCAAAAAATACGATTCACACATGCGTAGACAATTTCACATGCGTGAAACCTAATTCACGTACACACAAAAAAAATTCACGTGCGTGAAAAAAAAATATATTCACAAAAAGCAATTCACATGCGCAAAATAAAATTAGATATTCATAAAATACATTTCACAAATGCAAAACACAATTCGTAGATATACAACTGTTTACAAAAACCTTTGAATCTTTAAAATGTACGAGTGTGTCCTTGAATTTGAATGTGCAAATCGTCATTCACGTACGAATCGCCTTGGATGTGTGTGTGTGTATTTTTGAGACTTTCCTGGCAGCGTTTTACTCGTAAAACAGAGCAGTCGTACTCTTTAGCCAATCAGATTTAAGCTCATCAATCGACCAATCAGTATCACATGAGGGCGGGCCTACCTGCATGTTACGTCATCAGCTTTCGACCAGTTCATGGCTGAGCAGAGGTAAGTGCAGTTAATCGTTCATTTCTGTGTTAACTGAAGTTAAAGAAGCTTGAGATCAGTTGATGCAATAGTTTATTAACTGCTGTTTAGTCCACATGTGAACATAAACATTTATTTTTAGTATTGATGGATTTTCATGTCCTGTCCACCACACATTCAACTGATGATAATGTATGTAATGACGTGCATATATAGGAGACATGTTTTGTTTTAAGCATCATATATTATGTAGTTTTATTGTTTCAGATTTCCGAGACAGACGATGTATGAAGTTGCAGACAACCAGAACTGTGATCTTACCATTCCTACTGTAAATCTTTGAAAACAGTCCTGTTGCAAGCCAACCATTTTGACAGTTGTTTCAACAAGAGGTTGAAAGTGATGCATTGTTACTGTATTCATTTGTCTCCTGCGGACTATATGTACACGCTCTAGGAATACAGCCCTGCTATGCATGCATTATTAAATGTTCTTGTCAGAATGAAAAGATTCAAAGACATAGTTCAATTTGATGTACACGTTTTATTAATTTTAACGTTTCCGAAATTCTTTGGGAATAAAATATATATAAAATGACTTCATCATGATTAATGTTCCTGTTACATATGAAGATCATGAACATTCAGTACAGAGAAATATACATCTCTTCCAGAGTTGTGAGATCCAGTCAGAGTCTGCTTTGCTTTTAAAGTATATAAATATACGTGAAATACATCAAGTGAAAAGTGAACAAATGAATTGTGTTCAATCCAGTCATCAGTAGACCTCTCTGTTAGGACATATCAGATTTTGTCCTGATATTTAAAATAGTAAAAACCTATAGTACGAGAGGTGCAGACAGAGGACGTGGGAAATTAAGTGATGGTATTTGAATAGAGTTTACTGAGTAATCTTAGTCGCATAATCTTAATTGCCTCTCTATGATAAGTACCTTTGTCTTATCAGCACAAAATCAGATTTGCCTATTTTACTAAGCAAAGTAAAATTAATGCTTCACAATATTGTCCTGTGAGACCTTAAGATGACAATAAAAAACCTTATTTAAAAACCTTAAGATGACAATACAGCACAAAACATAAGGAAATGCATGTTGAATATTGGTAACACTACAATATGGTACAATAACATTACTTAATGTATATTAACTAACCATGAGCAATAGATTTGTTGCGGTGTTTGATAATCTTTGTTAACGTTAGTTAAAAATATAGCTGTTTATTGTTACTTTACAGTGCATTAACTAATGTTAACAAGATTTGAATTAAGTATTAGTAAATGCTGAAATTAACATTAACAAAAAATAATTAAAGGCTGTTTACGTGCAGTTCATTATTAGTTCATGTTAACTAATGAAACGTTATAGTAAAGTGTTACCAATTAAGACATAAAAACAAAAGTATAAAAGAGAATAAAGAAACAACATGAGTTAAGATGTTTGTGACTATCCAGATGTCACACCAAAGGGGAGTAATCCTGAAAAATGCAGGGAAACAAGTGTTAATAATAATTTAACAACATACACAAATAGCAAATAAACACTGGGTGCTCATTAAATAGGTCTATTCACCATTATAAGAACAATCTGGATGAGGCCAGTGCTGAGAGAGCTAGGGTGGGTATTGACCACAGATGATTGTTTTGCAATCATAGCGTGATGATTGTAGCTGAGAGCTGTCTAAAATACAACAAAACAAGCATCATCCTTCTTCATTTTTGACACGATATGGGACATCTGATTACAACAACACTTGCTTACATCAGTTAATAGTTCATAAACTATTGCTTCAACTGATCTCTAACTTCAGTTAACACAGAAATGAACGAGTAACTGCACTTACCTCTGCTCAGCCATGAACTGGTCGAAAGCTGATGACGTAACATACAGATAGGCCCGCCCTCACGTGATACTGATTGGTCGATTGATGAGCTTAAATCTGATTGGCTGAAGAGTACGACTGCTCTGTTTTACGAGTAAGCGCTGCCAGGAAAGTCTCAAAAATACACACACACACATCCAAGGCGATTCGTACGTGAATGACGATTTGCACATTCAAATTCAAGGACACACTCGTACATTTGAAAGATTCAAAGGTTTTTGTGCACAGTTGTATATCTACGAATTGTGTTTTGTATTTGTGAAATGTATTTTATGAATATATAATTTTATTTTGCGCATGTGAATTGCTTTTTGTGAATATGTTTTTTTTTCACGCACGTGAATTTTTTTTGTGTGTACGTGAATTAGGTTTCACGCATGTGAAATTGTCTACGCATGTGTGAATCGTATTTTTTGCGTGAATTATTAATGAGTCTGATCTGGCTCCATACACCTGAGCCACTCAGTTAATTTGTGCAGAGAAAAAGCATCAACAGAGTCACCAGAGGCTCAGGGTGCGATTTGCCGGGGGGGATGCGTGGGTTCCCTTTCGAGAGGTTCCTCCTATTGCTTAAGTAGCTTACGCTATGGGAAAACTCCTTTTCTCGAGAAATATTGAAGTCTTTATGTAAAACACATTGCAGCTGCACAGCATACAGCAATGAGCGAGGCAGCTCAGCAATGAGCGAGGCAGCTCAGCAATGAGCGAGGCAGCTCAGCAAAGACCATTCTCTTCGCTGGATCCTCCGGATTTTTGGAGTCTTTTCGCCGCCGCCGTCGACAAGCCTACAGCAGGACTGCTACGAGGACGCCGGCGCCTTCAGCCGCCTTCGATCGCCTTCTGCTAAGCCATCCGGCGCGCATCACCTTTATATCCTTTTAAAGCTTTACAGTGTTCGCCCCCGCGACACTTTTCTAAAAGAGCAAATTCAAGGCGTTGTTTCAAATGCCTTCCTGCGCCTCGTGTCGAGGCCTTCTTCAGGACGGGGATCGTCACATTATTTGCACACGCTGCCTGGGTCCGGACCACGCAGAGGCTGCCCTTTCTCGAGGCGGATGCCCCGAGTGTGACGCCCTGGGCCTCACCGAGCTGCGCGCTCGCTTCGCCGCTTTCGCCGCGAAAGAGCCCACCACCACCGTGCTACCATCCCCTCTGGTCGAGCCGCGCAAGAAGAAGCGCCGCTCACAGAGGCCGCCAGAGCCACCCGAGGACTCCCCGCCGCCAGTCCAGTTCACACAGGCGGACCAGCACCCCTCCAGCAGAGCGATGGGTCTCGTCTCGTTTGGCGCGTCAGGGGATGACGACGAAAGGGATGACAGCCTTTCCTTTGATGCTGCATCCGACGACTGGCCGGGCTCGTCCTTCCACCCCACGCCATCGACGTTAGCGGGCACGAGTGTGGGCTCCAGC